TTATAAACTTCAACTTTCCATGAATCTCTCACGTACATTCAGAACTGCTCATGAAGCATCGAATGTAAACAAATGACGTCACACATTATTTTATGGACAAATGTTCGAATCCTGTCGAAGGACGAATATTTTCTATGGAAATTTCTCGGACATTCAGACCGGTAAATGTTATTTAATACTGTTTATTATAAACAAGAGCATTTGCTTAAATACTTGTATCTATAAAAAGAATGTTAAACATAAAAATATCTTTAAATAAATTGTCGGACTTTGTCCATTTCATAATGTGTGACGTCATTTGTTTACATTTGATACGCCATAATAGTTATATATATATATATATATATATATATATATATATATATATATATATATAATGTGTGTGTCTGTGTGTGTACATAACCTGTCAGAATTATTATTCGAGTTATTTCGTCTTAGCTACCATTTTGTACTTGCAAATGATACGGAAAATAATTTCTAATTAAATAATTGCAAACTCTGTCCGGGAGAATTAATTATCTTTGCGTCTACACCGGCAGAATTTTATTGGACTTGTGCCATCTATAAAACTTATAAAATTTGTTCACCTACAATGTGAACGCACATGAATACACTCAAGATGGAGCGACGAATTTTGTTGCATTTTTCCAAAGATCTACAGGAAGGCGACTCTTTCATTATACGTCTGTAATTAGTTTTGTTGTGTTTAATTTCGTTTTAATTTATTTTGATTATCAAATCAACTGTAATTTATTTTTATTTATTTAACAGTTCTAAATAATATTTCTTTCTTATTGCAGGTAAGTTAAGAATCTCAGTTCTTATGGCGACTGTCTCCTCACCCGTTTTGGCATACGAAGGTAAGGGAGATAACTCAGTTTCTTAGAGTTATGACGGAATTATGTAGCAACTCCTATTTTTAAATAAAAACAAAGGAGAAAGAGAAGAACTGTATTAATATAGTTTTGAAATGGTAGGAAAGAGATAAGCTTAGTCTTGGTTTACTCAATTCTCTAATGTCTAACCTAAGTGTTAATTTATCCGTGACACATTAGTAAGACGAAAGGGATGGGCTAGAAAAAGACAAAGAAACGAAACCCAAAATGACTTAAGCATTTTATTTGCAAAGCATGAGTATATAAGACATACTAAAGATATATATATATATAGATATATATATATGTATACAAAAAAATTACCCGTATATAAGAAGAATGCAAGCAGTATGTAGAATCAATGTAAACCTACATTTTTTGACGCACTGAAGCTTGAAGAAATAGTGGGGGCTTCTTCGCAACCATCAAAATTGATTCAATTATCCAAATGCAATAATGTAGGCTATGGATAGATTCTGGCGAACTCAACGAACCCATTTAGATGAGAATTTGGGTGCTGCAAGCACTTAAGAAAATTCTGAAATTTGACCAATTACAGGTGAATTTGGAGGCCATATGAAATCGGTATTAGGACATATTCTGAGGCCAACATTATTTACTTCAACCCATTAGCTTATCATTGTATCATTAAAATGGCATTAATTTAATAACAAACAAGTAAAATAAACCTTCGAGTGTGTTTAAAAGTAGAGCCATTAAAAATATTGCTTCAGGGGTTCCTCTGGGATTAAGGCCCCTGAAGCTTAAGCTTAATTAGTTTCATATTAGATCCGCCATTTTGTATAGAGGACGAATAAAAAGAAGGTTTTATTTGAAGGTTTTATGTTCCCAAGATGGATACGGTATCGTTTCTGTTTCATTTAAATTTTACATATATATATATATATATATATATATATATATATATATATATATAAAACATACATAAAAGGTTAATGACCAGAGTTAAATCAGACCGGGAAACAACAGTATTAATAAGTGTGAAAAAATAAGGTAAAAGTAAAAAAAAATAAAATAAATAACATGTAGGAGATCGGTTGAATCTGTTACCTTGGTTTCAACCTACGGTATCCTCAGGCAATTTTATTCAAATGACCTCTTTAACACTTCAATTTTAAAAAAAAAAATTGATAAAATCGCCTGAAGACACCGTAAGGTGAAACCAAGGTAGCGGATTCAACTGACCTCCGGATTTTTAAAGTAGATATATATATATATATATATATATATATATATATATATATACAGAGAGAGAGAGAGAGAGAGAGAGAGAGAGAAAGAAAGATATATATATATATATATATATATATATATATATATATATATATTTGGATATTTAATAACAAAGTGATGGAAATCAAAAACAATGAAAAATGAAATCGGCTGATTATATACAGCAAACGCATATATACATTTTCCAGCAATTCTCGTTTGTGCGTATGAGTAATGAGTAATGAATAGTGGCATCAACGATAAAAAAAGTTTATCCGATGAGCTCCTAAAGGACGAAACGCATTGTATGAAAAACTTTTTCCACCTTCTCAAACATATTTCCCTGCAATATATATATATATATATATATATATATATATATATATATATATATATATTTACAAACAAAATAAAAAATTACCAAATGTGAGGTAATTTTGGATTTTGTTTTTATTTTATATGCTCCGTTATAATAAATGGATTGATCTCTGGCTGATCAGTTTTAATATTTGATATAACTAGAATTCATATATATATATATATATATATACGTATACATACATATATATGTATGCATATATATATATATATATATATATATATATATATATATATATATATATATATATATGTATGTATACATATATATGTATGCATGTATACACACATATATATATGTATGCATGAATGTATACATATATATATATATGTAGGCATGCATGTATATATATGTGTATGCATGTATGTACATATATATATATATGTATGCATGTATGTATATATATATATATATATATGTATGCATGCATGTATATATATATATGCATGTATGTATACATGTATATATATGTATATGCATGTATGTATATACATGTATATATATGTATGCATGTATGTATACATTTATATATATATGTATGCGTATATGTATATATATATATATATATATGCGTGTATGTATACATGTATATATATATATATATATATATATATATATATATATATATATATATATATATATATATATATATATGCATGTATGTATATATTCTATTCTTTTTTACACCTATCATTTTGCTCGCATTCTTTTGTAGGTATAAATAAAAAGTTCAATTTGCAAATTAACATTATTTTTATCGAATATAACTGGATCGAACCTATCTCTATTTTTCAAATGTTCACTGTATATTTTTACACTGTTTAATTTGCACGATAGTTTCTAGAACGCAGCCCCGTACAAAAGAAGAATTGACCATATATATATATATATATATATATATATATATATATATATATATATGTGTGTGTGTGTGTGTGTGTGTGTGTGTGTGTGTTTAACAGCAAATTTTCTTTTAGGCATGTCGGTTTGAATAAATTACAAACATTATGCCTGCTTATTTTATCATAATCCTTTCATATTCACGAATATTTTTTTCCGTTTATTACAATTGAATAAGGATAACTGTAACAGTGAGAATCACTTTTATTTCCCAAGTTCTTTCCATCTCTTTCTGGGATCATCATCATGGATGCAACTTCTAAGGCAAAAAACTATGTGTAGCTATCCATTACTGATTTTTTTTCTTTTTGCGTTTAAATGCTACGGCTGACGGTTATGTTGGAATTCCATGAATGCCATGTCATATATATTAAGCTTTAAGTTTATTTACAATATTTACATTCACTATTTACTGTTGCCCTCATTTTTGCTGGTGCTAACAACAACAAAAAGACGAGGATAATAGTTTCAATGTAAAATGTGTAAATAATGCTTCCGCATTTCACACAGTTGTAATTTTGTTCGCTATGCTCAGAGAAAACCTCAAATTTGGTGTGAATTATTAATGGGGACCTTCACGCTTCTTTGGGGTTTTTTTTTTTGTTTTTTTTTTTTTTTTGTTTGTTTTGCTTGAGTTGTTTTTGTTTTTTTTGTTTTTTCTGTTATACGGAAATATCTTTTACAATGAGCTAATGGCCATATCAGATAGAAACACCGGTTCCTGGAAAACACCTCCTAGGTATACCAGGTGCTATATGCTTGGGTGTGCGAGTGGTGTAAGGGAAAACAGCTCGATATTATTTATTGGATAACCGAGTTTAAATTCCTACTATGTTGGTTATATTCACTTACTTTTGGGAAAGGTCTGACTCTACCTCTTCTCCTCCAGGTATGGGTTAATTAGTAAGACTTGTAACACTAAATCATTATTATCTGCAACCCTAGATCCTTACAAGATAAAAATATTTCCTAGCTTTACATAACATGCAAAGTGTTGATAACCCGTAGAAAACAATTTTGTGTTGATAATTAACATTGTTCAGCGTTCGATTATATTTTTTGTTCTATCGTTTATTAATATATGGACAAAGAAACTATTTATTTTCTTTAAAAAAAAGAATTTTACCTAATAAGTTTTTATAAAAAAATTTGTACTTTTTTTTTTATAATTTCATCATTGGAAACTTAGAAGTAACAAACGAATTTTAGTTTTACGCTATTAATTACTATTACTCCATTACTGTACATAACCGCTGTTGCTGTAAACAACATTTTACGCACGTGAATATTGGCAATAACAAAGGTATTCCAAAAAAGACACATTTTACTTATCCATTTTATTGATATCTGTTTAATTTTCTGGATTGAATATGTCAAACAGTTTCACAAACTTACTATAACATCATCTTCCGAACTTATTCATTACATTGTATTGACAACCAGCTGCGTTGTACCCCGTAGCAAATGATACTTTAGATTGTATAGGTGCGCGGATGTAGAAATACGAGTCCAGGTGCGAGCTTAGCTCACTGCGGGGGTAACACTTCTAAGTCTTCGTTAGGAAAACGCTGATGCAACACCCAATGTTGTGGCCGGTTCTTCTTTTCTGATACATGCTCTTCTTGCCCAGTGAGATTGCCACAGTGGAATGTCTGTCTGTCTGTCTGTCTGTCTGTCTGTCTGTCTCTCTCTCTCTCTCTCTCTCTCTCTATCTATCTATCTATCTATCTCTATATATATCTTACTTTCTCTGTCTCTCTCTCTCTCTCTAGCCATTGCTTGAAATCGCACGTTCAATGGTGGTTCGTATCTGAAAAAAGGCAATCAGACCTACAAATTCATTTTTGAATTTGTAGATCTGATGAAATGGATCGTGATTACGATTCCAATGTAATAAATTATAAACATAGAATATTTTGAGCCTTTTATATTATATTCTTGCTCTGTCCTTGACATTGTTGTACCTGAATTCTATCCTCTTGAAATTTATATATATATATATATATATATATATATATATATATATATATTAACTAATATATATTATCTATATATTATATATATATATATATATATATATATATATATATTAATCTAATATTATCTATATATATATATATATATATATATATATTATTAATATTATATATATATATATATATATATATATATATATATATATTAACCATTTAATATTATCAATATATATATATATATATTAATATACGAATATTATCAATATATATATATATATATTAACCACGAATATTATCAATATATATACATATATATATTAACCACGAATATTATCAATATATATATATATTAACAACTAATATTATCAAAAAAAAATATATATATATATGGCTTGACGATTGCATCTAGCATGAAACAGCCTGTCGCCTCTAAGTGTTGACTTCTATTTTCACTTTTATATTTACACAAGCTCTGTCTCTAATATTGAGCACTTTATCCCATAAATATAGCACATCTTAAGACTATATTTCTTCATATATATATATATATATATATATATATATATATATATATATATATATGCCAGCATCACCATTATGCTATTCTCTCTGAATGTTTATCTATCTATAAGTCAATCATGTGAAAGTCAATCATTATCATTACCGAAAATCCGTAGCTTGCTTCAGGACCTACATAGAATTCTACAGTTAATGTACAGGCAACTTCAGCAATGTATATCCCAGCCAAATTTAGTCTCATATTAGTCTACTTTGAAAGCATCTTCGAGCAGATATTTGTCTGCTTTTCGAAAAATAAAATTCTGTTTCCTCTCAAGCCAAATTCTAAAACCAGTGACTTAATCCTGCAAGCTTTGAGAGGCGAAAACTTTCAAATAGACAAAGTTACAGTAGGAGAAAAAAAAATTGTTCATACCTCTTGGATTTAGAAGATTTTATAAGCTCACAAGTTGCTGAAAACTAAGACGATTATGATAAGACGATTTCCCACTTCAAAGATCGGCATTTCAAGTTGTGCTATCGTCTGCATTACCCAACCGAGACACTCTAGCGACAAATATACAAACAATGTTCAAGGAAACTGTAACATTAATGCCGCAGTGGCACTGTATCTTCCAGCGATTAACGCTTTCTTGTGCACCACGCTTTACTTTAGTATAAAAGATGAGGAAATCGAATAAAGTTTAGATTGCGCTAAAAGTAGTTATGGCCGACACCGTAAGATGCTACCAAAGCCAAAATATTAACCTGAAAATCAATGTTCTTAAATACCCTCATCAGATTTAGAGATCCATGTGGGTGAATGGCGTCTAACTCTATCAGAAAAATCTAAATTATAAACAATCAGAAACCGCTTTCTCAGTTTAATAATTTTAAAACGAATAAATCCAACACGTCGTAAGTAAGATTTATCTTTCATCAGACCCTGAGATCCTTAATAAATACACAGGGTGTCCCATAATGATATAATCTTAACAACATAAGATACGTAAATGAGGAATGATAGCAAACGCGGAAAAGAAATTACAAAATCACCTACAGAAGTTAGCGATGGAGAATGAGAAGGGACTAAGCATAAACTACTATAAGACACAATACATGGCCATCAGTAAAAGGGTAAGCCCAAAATTCAATTTGCAGGTCGAGAACACTAGAATCAATCAGACGTGGAAGTTTAAATAACTGGCAAGTGTTTTGACAGAGGACGGTAAGTATGACACCGAGAACCGTAAAGGTATCGCAATAGCCAAGGACGCATTTCAAAACCTAGGCAGAGTATTGCGGGACAGGAAGATTTCTTTTGTAACGAAGAAATGATTACTGAGCTATTACGTGACTTCCGTCCTTCTTTGCGAAAGTTGGACGATTTCCTCAAAGATAAAAAAGAGACTCGAGGCGACAGAGATGTGTTTCTACAGAAGGATGGTGAGGATATCATGGACCGAGCATGCGAGCAACGATGAAGTCTTAGAGAGGATGCAAACAAGGAGGTGGCTAAAACTTAACAACTTAACACCAGAAAGAGGCAGCTGAAGTTTCTGGGACACATAATGAGGAAGGATGGTCTGGAGAATCTAATACTCACGGGTCGAATAGAGAGAAAGAGAGACAAGGGAAAACAACGCATGACATACCTAGCGGGCTTAATCAAGTGGATGACAGAATGTGGTCTGGGGGAGGTAGCAGAGGTAAGGAACTTGCTGAGAGCTGCAAGGGATAGAGGGAGGTGGAGAGCCATAATCGCCTACGTCCTGAAAGGACATGGCACCTAAAAAGAAGAATCTTGGATTATAAAAATAAAATAGAATAGCACATATCTATTACATAACTAATATATAAATATATTATCTAAGATTAAAATATTACATTCCTGAGACAGTCACCAGGCACAGATGCAATTTCTTTTAGAGTGTAAGACATTATGAGGATCCACCGTCAACAAAAGCTATATCAACTACCTGTCGGAAATAACAAAATCTTAGATATGGACTCCTATATATCAGTTATGTAATAAATATATTTCGTACACTATGCCAGTTTTATAATCCAAGATACTTGCATTTAAAATGTATCCCATCATTATGGGGTACCCTCTTTATGTAGATGGTACCACAGTGTATTTATGAACATCCAAATATCTTGACGACCAACGCTTGGCAATTGAACTCTCCTCTGACCTAACACTCACAAATCAAGGACTGGCTGGTACCTCCAAATCTAAACTAGTAACATTTAAAATATATCCCATGCTGAAAACCTGAGTTTCGTGAGGTTTTACCAAGAGATATTGATTTTATTATACTAATATTCACCTAATACAAAGCCCAAGAGCCACTCAAGCTAGAGGGTTACTATGTGGTGTTGTATGAGCGTAAGAAAAGTCGAGAACCAAAATTCATTGTGTTATGCTGGAAAGATAACGGTTTACCTTAGACTTGAAGTGGTCAAGATTATAGTGATTGGGAAAAAAACCCTCCCGGATATCTGTTCTATAAAGCCTCAGTTCTTGGGAAGAAGTTGTCCGAATGGAACTTAATTTTTGATATTGAAATACGAAGGGAATGGGGATGATTCACGCTTATTATGGATCAAGTTCCCCTTCGGTCAATACGAAAGCGACAGTCCCACGTTATGCAAACTCACTCAATGGAGTTCCATTTCAGACTGAGAAATCATACGGATCTTTTCCAGAAAAACTGGTTATCACGATATTTACAATAGCTGAATATTGTTCAAGCACACATATAAAAAAAAAAAAAACATTGTGGCCAACTGCAACTTCATTTAAGGATATCTCACATTGTGTTTTTTTACCGTCCGATACATCCACACGCGTGGCATTGAAGCCCTTTCACCGAGTCACTATCTCCAGACTGGTTACTAATAAAGACTAGAAGGACAAGTCTGCTCTGTTATTTAACCCATAGCTATTGAGAGGAGAGATGGATTCATACGCTTGAATTTGTGCAAAAGTGGACGTTCCAAACCACCAACCATTATACGACCCAACACCATTTAAAAAAAAAAAAATCAACAAAAAGCACCTATCTCAGCTTTAGGCAGACTTTGCAATTAACATGACTTAAGAGGTTTGATCTTTACGGACCAACATATTTCGACAAACGAACCAGGCTGCTTGAGTACTTTTATCGAGTCACCATGACTAAATCCGTGAGAATTCGAACCCGGCTTGCTAATTTTTCTTTTTCAAGTCGCTAACCATTGCGCTATGCGCTTCGTATATATAGACAGAGATATAGATCGAATGTAGAATGAAATGAAGTAATTAGTAATTTATTCTCTGCTTAGTGTACAGCTAGATGCGACATCAGCCTAATCAGATTATATGTTGACAAATCTAAAAAAAATGTCCGAATGCCAATAAACAGAAGTTCACTAAGACCGAGGCCGAACACGATAAAAACAAAACCTTATCTCTTAACAAGTTGGAGGATTCACAAATATCTCGAGTCCATCGACAACATCGGTGAAGGGGATGAAGTTATTTTATATCGCTCGAAGTTACATACTTAAGGGGATTTGATTTGAAATTTTGCTTTTTTTCGGGGGTCGTTTCTATATATATTTTTTTAAAATCTTTTCTCCACCGAGACAGATTTTAAATAGCAAAGTGTTGATAATATTGAGCAAGGTGGGAGTGCCATTAGTACCCAATGGGGTTACAGACAGTGAAATTGAGAGAAACGAATTGGTATAGGAGGGATTGAGAAAAGAATAAAAGATGAACGTAGTTCAAGACAACAGAAGATGGCGATTGGTGTTACATTTAAAATTTTTGAAGAATATGTAGTTATCAGGGAAGCATGTAAGAGGAAGGGAGTTCCACTGTCGGGAAGTTTGAGGAAAGAAACTCTTGGAGTAGAATTAGCGGTTAAATTTAACTATTTCAAAATTAAAAGGTTGAACCTAGATGCCAGTCTAGTAGCACGCTTAAATTCATGTAGTTGGAGCACCAGTGAAAATAGCTTTTCAGGGCAATTGCTATGAAAATATTTGTAGAAATGACAGAGGGAATCCATATCACATCTGTGAGAAAGTGACTGAAGTCGAGATGCCAGGTCAGGATCGATTACATTGCAGATCATACTTTGGATTTTGTCGGGAACCTAGAGATGAACAGCAGGTGCACTAGACCAGATATGGAAACAGTATTCAATGCACGAAGGAATGGTAGATTTGGAGATGTTTAATTTGGACTCTGACGCGAAAACCTTCTGGAACGAGACAATGAACCAACTTTCCTTGCAGTAGATGCAGCTATTGATTCAATGTAGTTGTTCCGAGTCAGAGGCATTCGTCGATTGTAACTATCCCTGAGGGTAAGGAGAGTTGAATACTACGTGTTGTTTCTTCATTCGCCTGTTCATTCCAGTTCAAGTGGGAATCTATGACTGCACTTGGCTTATTCGATCGTTTTTATATCCGTTCCTAGAATACATTTGGCACCCAGAATAAGGATTTTTTTGTGTTGTGATGTCACAAAAAAACAGAAATGTGTGATTTTATTGGCGTATTAATATTTTGGGTGTACAAACTAGAATCTGTGGGTCTTCTATTCGATAAGAATTAAATTCTTCAGAATTAGGGATAATGTTCATACAACACTAAATGTAAGAATACATGTGAGATTCCTGTTTTTTTTGGTTTTTTTTTGTGATTTAAAGAAACAGAATCGATAGGCTTTTAGTGATTTCGAATCAGATTCCTGGCCTAATCGCTTTCAAAACTGATCACTTCCCTAAATTCGCACTCCGCTTTTACCTTATATTTTTTAAGAATAGCACAGTTTTGGCGCAGAGCTATATATATATATATATATATATATATATATATATATATATACAAAGAACAGTAAGATATATAATCCGGTGTTCTTATAGATATTTTTATTATTACAAAATAGTGCTCAATGTAAATTTACAGAGCATTAACATTATAAATTAATTGATTTAAAATATGTTTTTTTCGCTACACAGTTCTAACCATGTTTCAAAAATGGAAGCTAAAAGCCACGAATATAATTTTGCAATTCAATTAAAGACATTAGTTCCATTTCATCCTCCAGCGAATTTTGGAGTAACTTTTAAAATTACTGGGTTTTAAAGACACAGCTAAAATCCCGTTTCCATGGTTACAGATAAATCTACTTCAACTGGACAAGGGGTACTGGGTTTTCCTCATGTCTGTATCATTGTATCGGTTATTAGCTACACTTTGGTAAGGGGTAGGGATGTATTTTTCAATGAAGACTGACATCCGTTGAATGCATGTCGTCTGGATTTTTTAAATTTAGTGTTAACGGCAAAAAAATTTTTACGGCATTTTTTTTTTCTATTTGTAAATTTAAAGATTTTCGGGGGTGTTCAGATTAGAATACTTTTTTATTTGACTGATTTGAAATATTCTCATTTTAATTTTTTTATACTATATTTTTTTTTACCCCATATATATATATATATATATATATATATATATATATATATATAAAAAAGGCTTAAACACTAATATTCCATGGTCATAATTTATTCCATTGGAATCGTAAATACGATCCAATTTGTAGGTCTGATGATTTGGATCGTATTTACGATTCCAATGGAATAAATTATGACCATGGAATATTAGTTCTTAAGCCTTTTTATTATATCCTTACTCTGTCCTAGACATTGAATTCTACCTGGATTCTATCCTCTTGGATAAATTTTTTTTTTTTTTCTGAAAATATACATGTATGGGAATTTTTTATATATATTTTGCATATGTATGTATATTTTCCACTAATATTATCTATCTATCTATCTATCTATCTATCTATCTCTCTCTCTCTCTCTCTCTCTCTCTATATATATATATATATATATATATATATATATATATATATATATATATATATATATATATATATATATGGGGTACTCAGTGCTAATGATCAACAATCGATAGTTTTTACTGACTTTTGCATCTTTTCCCTAACCGCTTTCAATATTGACTCCAATTCTAATCTCCCTGTCTATTGTTATTTAATAAACTTAGGGTTATTTTCGTACAAAACAACACATATGGGGCACCCAACTCATTACTCAGTAATAATGGTCGGGGAGGGGCATCTATTGTTATTTGTTGAGCTTAGCTCAATTTTGAGACGATGTTTCCCCCAAATGGCGTCATTTAGAATTCAAGGCCGTTAAAGTGATCTTACAGTGTCAGACAACTGGCAGACATCAAATAGGATATTTTATTCGAATTTGATCCTTTCACTTAATAAACTTCCTCGTGACATATAAAACAATATAATGACAAAGATGAGGATAGACTTAAAAGCAAATTATTGCGTAATTAAAATAACGATTTTGGAAATCAGCAGCTAAAACTTTCTTTATGCTTGAAAAGGAGAGATATTCCATTATTAAAAAAAATTAAATGTCGAAATAGTCATAAGAACATTTATAGATGGGAATTTGTCGTCATCGTCTTCTCTTTATTGTTGTGTGTGTTTTCTTCTTTTTCTTTTTCTTTTCTTTTTTTTCTTTTTATTTTCTTCTTTTTCTTTTTCTTTTCTTCTTTTTCTTTTTATTTTCTTTTAGTTATTCTTCTTCTTTTTCTTCTTTTTCTTCTTTTTTCTCCTTTTTCTTCTTTTTCTTTTTATTTTCTTCTAGTTCTTCTTCCTCTTCTTTTTTCTTCTTTTTTCTTCTTTTTCTTCTTTTTTCTTCTTTTTCTTCTTTTTCTTTTTTGTCTTCTTCTAGTTCTTCTTCTTTTTTCTTCTTTTTTTCTTTTTTCTCTTTATTTTCTTCTAGTTATTCTTTTTCTTCTTTTTTTCTTTTTCATCTTCTTCTTTCCCTTTCCTTGTTTACTTCCTATCATTTACATTATCTTTTTTAATTTACTATTGCTCAATCAATACACTGCTCAAGAGCCCTTCAAGAGAGGGAAATTATCTCTAAGTGGGTACACTGGGAAAGGGGATCAAGAAGTTGATATGAAAGATAGACAGCGGTTGACCCTAGGCTTGAAGAGGTTAACACTGTAGTGATTGGGGAAGCATCCTCCCTGGAATCCATTATACAGTTCAGGACTTTTGGGGAAGCAGTACTTTTGGGGAAGCTCCTGTAATATGAAGGAAATGAGGATAAATCAACCCAGTGTACATGGCATGGGGGCGAGGGTTCTGTCTGTGAAAGTCCGGACTGATGGAACCAAGGAAAGTAGTTCGCCTGGACATCTGGCATGAAAATAACGGTAGAGTAGCGAAAAAGGACTGGGAAAAGGACTGCAGTGCGAAAAATAGTGCATTGACCACAAAACCGCTTTTGAATTCTGTCGAGGTAGGTAGGTACATGAGGATTGTGTAGATCCAATTCAGATATAGCAGAAAAACGTCATTTTTAACCTGATCTGGCTATTGTAAAGGCAAGATGAGTCAGAAACTGAACCGTACACGAAACAGACTTTCTAAATTGTTCGTAAATCTTAACCCAAAATAAGTCAACCTCAACTTTTTATGTAATACTCGACTTATACAAGATTACATTGGTAATTCATTGTAATTCACATATAATAAACAAACAAGGGGCACCTCGAGGTAGTGTAATGGTTAGCAAGCTTGTCTCGCTAGAACAATTACGACTGAGTAGTGAGTTCGATCCTCAATGGGTGCCCCTTACTTACGGCCTTGTGCCACATCCAAGCTACGCTTGGAAAATCACTATAATAAACAAACGGGATTTGTGGATCACCTACACCTTGAAAGGACACGGTATTAAAAAAAATTCAATCAACCCGACTCCATCCAGCAGACTCACATATCAATACTTGGGAACGTTCTTCTTGAAATATATCTCATAATTAAATCTAAATCCAATACTATCATTTGATCCACTGAATTGATCTAAATCCAATACTATCATTTGATCCGCTGAATTTCGATCTTTACTTTGTATTATTAATATATCGAAAGATATTTTTTAAAAAAAAGACTGATCTTTAGTTATTTGCTCAAGTCTATTATGATAAAATATAATTGCAATACAAGATTTTCTTTCGTAACTTAAGAATATTTTCTGCGATAAGAGAAGTAGAAAGACCTTCTAAATTGTACGTAAATTGTAACCTAAAATAGATCAGCCTCAACTTTTTATGTAATGCTCGACTTATACAAGAATACAACCTGTATTTTGAACGGTTAAAATAATCTACAAGCCGAGATATAAAAAAAGCCAGGCATTGTTATTTATTTTCTCTAATAAATATCCGTGTTACTGTTTCAATCTAAATGGGCCTTTACTTTTTGAAAACAGTGTTGAAGATCATAATAGCAGCAGGGCGGGTACTTCGATGTGGTGTAATGGTTAACAAACTTGTCTCTCTAGACCAATTACAACTGACTAGTGTGTTCGATCCTCAGTAAGTTCGAATTCCAATCGAATCCATTACATTCACTTACGTGCTAATCCCCTTGGCAAAGGTATGAATCCTCTTCTCCACCTCCGGCTATGGGTAAATAGCAGAACAGACTGGGTTCTATAGCCTTGGATGGCAACTGGTCTACTGCAGTAATAAATGGCACATAACTGACTAATCTTCTCTTTATCTCAAGTGAAATTCATTTTTTTTCTTTTTCTTGGTATTTGACTGGTCACACTGCATGTGTCAGCACATTGATGGCATCTTTTTCTTCTTTCCAGACCTTGGCTCAAGCTGTTTGCTTGCATCTTGAAATCCCAGCATATTTTCCACTTTTCATTTTACCGACTAACCCCTCACTTATGGTCATATTATTTGTCTGTTTGGGAAAAGCCAAGATACTCGCCCGATGTTTACTATCAGTTTGCACCATCAAACCATATTCCTATCTCTCGACTCTCCCTTTCTCTACTCTCTCTCAATCTTTGTCATACCCACTCTTTATAAATGTTCCTCTCTTTCGCCCACATTCATTTCGAATTTCGTTTCCAAACTCGCTTAAACTATATCTCTTTTCTTTTCGTTTCTTTTGCTCGATTTTTTTTGTTTGTTTTTATCCGCTTCTATCACTCCTCTTCCTTTCACTCTATCTCACTCTCTATTTGCTATTATTTTTTTACTTCTTTTTTTTACTGCTTTTCATACTGAACCTTCATTTTGCCTCTCTCCTCATCCCCCTTCTCATCATTCTATCACTCTCTCATTTTTAACATTTACCCCCCCTTCCTCTTAACATTTTATTTCTGGTTTTATGTTGTCATCTCAATATCATTTTACAGCCCATCCCCTTTGGCGTTGCTATGGAAACGCTTCACCCACCAAAACTCACTCTCATCAAAATGAATCAATAATAAATGCACACAACAACATCGAACGATTGCCTCCCTCTTTTCCTTCCCTTCTCTCTCGCTTTTCTCATTCTCTCTCTCTCTCTCTCCTTCTCTACTGCTCTTTCTTTCTTTTCTAATCTTCATACGCCATCTTTAATGTAACCTTTCTGTCTGTCGGTCTCTTTTTCTTTATGTTTGTCTCTCTCTTTCTTTTCTATCATTACTTTCTTTTCTCTCTTTTTAGCCCTTTTCTCACCGTCTCTCTCTCTCTCTCACCCTCTATCCCTCTCTGTCCATATCTATCTATATATCTGTCTTCAGTTTAACCTTCGTTTCTGTCTTATCGCTGCTCTCATTTTCCTCTCTCTTTCTTTTATTTTTTCTCTCTTTCTACTCTCACTTCAGTTTAACCATTTCTTCCATTCTGTCCTCTCCCCCCTCATACTCTCTTTTCTCTTTTCTCTAACGTTTTCTTTTCTCTTTTCTTGTGCAGTCTTTAGTTTCTCTTCGCCACCTCTTTCTCTCAGTCTCACATTCTTCCTATCTCTCTCTCTCTCTCTCTCTCTCTCACATACTCTCTTTCTCTCTATCTTTCTACTATTATTTCTTTCTTTTCTTCTCTTCATACACCGTCTTCAATGGAACCTTTTTTGTCTTTCTCTTTCTCTTACTATCATTACTTTCTTTTCTCTCTTCTTAGTCTCTTTCTCTCTCTCCGTCTCTCTTTATCCCTCACTCTCTATCTCTCTATCATCTCCCCTCTCTCTCACTCTCTCTCTATCATCCCTCTCTCTCTCTCTATCATCCCCCTCTCTCCCTCCTCTCTCTATCTCTCTCTCTCTCTCTATCTCTCTATCATCCCCTCTCTCTCTCTCTATCATCTCTCTCTCTCTCTCTTCTTGTTGCGTACTGATTTTGTCATTTTATTTTCTTTGTTTACTTCTTTTCTATTTTTAATTTTTATTGGTCCGATTTTAGACCGGCCCAGCAAATCTCATATTCTTTAAATTTATTCCTACTTTGCTTATACATGTTATTTGCCTTTATCGATTCCATAAAAGAAAATAAACCTTCCGAAATTCCCAAACTCTAAGCTGCTGTAATCTTTTTTCAATGTTTTTTCTTTTCTTTAAAAATGACTAAAATTGAGTTTTCCTAGCTTAGCCCTATCCGAGGAGGCCCGTGTTAACGTATACTCTCCGGGGTCGTGAATTATGAATTGTCTGAAAACAAAAATAAAATATTCCTAGTTTTAATATATTCAAGTAAAAATTACTTACCAAAAATGCAAATCTACACTCCAAGGAGTCGATTGTCAATGAAGCTACTAGTTGCAAAATAGACAATCTATTTTACAGTTGTGATATCCCAATGTCACCAATACACAACAAGGGTTAACAAGAGCTAGATTTAGAACCAGCAGTGAAATATAACAAAAAAAAGGGTAGATTAAAACTGTAATCAAATAAAATCAAAATTTTAGATCCAAAATTCTATTGGATTAATAATTCGGTAAATATCCATTTTATATTAATTAAGAATCTGTTACATTAACTTCTACAATAATGACTAGTGTATGAATGTATCTCTTAAATCCTTCCCCTGCCAAGGGTTAAATAGTAAAGTGCAATCTGTTTTAAATCTTTGTAGAATATGGACAACCCTGAATTCAAAGGGAAACCGTTAGATTGTCTTTCCCAAAAAGCAATGGCTGTTGAAAGAAAATAAATAAAGGAGGCTGTCGAGAGCAATATTTTGAAAAAGTTTTTAATGTTAAAGCATTGCAAGAAAGATTAGGATATCTATAAATACTCTCTAAACAGTATACAGGCATACGGTCACCGAAGTTAAGCAACGTCGTGCCTGATCGGTACCTAGATGAGTGACCTAGTTGGAAGACATCAGGTGCTGTAAACTTGGATGTGCGGGTGGTGCAATGGATAATGGCTCGGAATTATTCATGGCAGAGAATGAGTTCCTATTCCAGTGTTTTATTTTTTTTATATTCACTTACGCGCAAATACCCTTGGGAGAAATATGAATCCACTTCTTCCCCCTAGCTATGGGTTAATTAGTAAGACTTGTATCACTAAATCATTATTATCTCTAAAAATAAAATTAAGTATAAAACATTTAGATTTCGGCATAAAGTAACCCATAGAGGTGTTGCCATGTCACTAAACAAAAACAACCAACCTAGTTAATACCAAACGTTACAATAAAATATATAATCTGATGGTTAGGTGAGAATTCATGAAACTTTCAGCTGTGTTTGGCTATTGATCAACTGTAAATTATTTTAAAATATTAAGTCTCTATCAGTTAATATGGCATGGAGATCTTGTAGCAGACTCACTTATGTGTTCTTTTCAGTGGGGACACGTATTTGATATGCAATTCTGTTTTTTCTTTTTATTTATTTTCTCAAACAGTGAAATTAATAACAACCGCTTTAGATTATCGAATAAGAACTACACAATGATTAATTTCACTGTTTAAGAAAATAAAAATAAAAAAAACAAGTGAAAACAGGGAAAACAACTCATAAACATATATCCACTTAAAAACATATATATATATATATATATATAATAAACAATAAAAAAATTTAAAAATTAAAATCTTTAGACACACTGGGTTGTAGATTAATATTCTTTCGTTTTTTTTATTATTATTATTCCATTTAGATTCCTCAACTAGTTTCGACCAAAATGGCCATCATCGGGAGGAGAAATATTTCTGCTTGCTGGTAGCACTAAACTACAGACTGAGTCTTTTGTTGAAGAAAATGAACTTTTGTCTGTAGTTTTCATTTGTTTTTTTTATTTTTTTATCTTTTTAACATGAATCTTTTAACATTCCTTGTGTTGGTCAAACAGTCTCTTTTAAGTTGTTATTTGAGATAAGAGCTGGATAGATACATGTTGCTCTGAATTCTCGGGTCAGTTTGACAGTTTTATTGAACCTGCTGAGGGGATGTGTCTCTGTTTAGTGTTTGTGTGTGTATATATATATATATATATATATATATATATATATATGTATGTAAAATAGGTTATTGAATAAAATAAGGACAAACGAAAGGGTACCATATAATCAGTACGAAAAACATTTATTAAATATTAACTATTAACCATATGACAGAAGTGAAGCACAGAAAGAAAGGTTTTAAGTCCGGAATTTTCGGATACACCTGTGTCCTTCATCAACGGAGCGTGAAATAAACAAAGAAATGGGAATTACTCACCGACAGATGTTTTTGTGGACGGTGTATCTTCTGGTTAATAATTAATATTTGATAAATGTTTTTCGTACTGATTATATTGGTACTATTTCGTTTGTCCTTGTTTTTTAACTAGCCCATCTATTTTACATACTATAAGAAGCATGTGACCCTTTCTTCTAGTATATATATATATATATATATATATATATATATATATATATATATATCTTTAAAAATCGGAGGTCAGTTGGATCCGCTTGGCTTCAACCTTACGGGATCTAAAGTTTTTTCTTTCAAAAAAAACAAAAAAACTAAAAGAACATATATTATTATTTTCAAAATAAATAAAAACAAACGCATTTCCAAATCCAAAGAACCTTTTAAACTAGAAATTCGATGTCTTATGATCTTGCTTATATATCAGAAAAATTATTCTTAAGTGAATATGAGGCTAGATAAAAAAATAATTTAACCCCCACCAGTACATTTACAATACACTTCTTCTTCTTCTTCTTCTTCTTCTTCTTCTTCTTCAAATAGTAAAAGGTTAGGTGGTCAATTCATAAAAATCACCTGACGATATCGTAAGGTTGAAACCAAGTTAGCGGATTCAATTAACCTCGTGATTTTTAAACTTAAAAACTCTACAAGTAATTTTTACTTTTGTTTTTTCACACGTGTATTAAGCACATTTTAATACTACTGTTTCCTGGTCTGATTGAATTCTGACCATTAATCTTTTATTATATATATATATATATATATATATATATATATATATATATATATATATATATATATATATATATCTCAGCTGTGATTTTATTTATTATCTTATAGTAACTAGTTGAAACCATTTTGCCTTCAGAATCACTGGAAGAACTCTTTCCAAATTTGGATCCATGCTGTTATTATGCCTTCCTGTATTTCTTTACATTAGTTTGTCGACCATACAGGAATCAAATCAGCCTCACCTCCACGCACCAAAGCTGCTCTATGGGATTCAGATCCGGTGAACTAGGAGGTTACTTTAACAAAGCTATGACTTATATGCCGTCTCAAATGTCACTTTACAGATATATATATATATATATATATATATATATATATATATATATATATATATATATATATATATATATATATATATATATATATATCGGAATACAGGGTTGGTTAGATAGAATAAAATTCTGATAACCAAAACCTTCATTTTAAAAAAGTTCAATAAAATAGAGCAAATAATATTTATTAAAAATTATAACTTGTTATAACATCACTAAAAAAGATCGCATGTTATAACATCACTAAATATATATATATATATATATATATATATATATATTAACTTGTGCAGTATATATATAATTATATCATAAATAAGTAATTATACAAGAATTAATTAGCAATGTTAATGCGATTAATGGCGAAATCACTTCGCTAACAAGACTTAATGTGACATTAACTTACTATCCTTGAATAACGCGATCCTTATATTTGGATTGTTGATAAATGGAATTAATGGTCATGTGCATAGTACTTTCGACAATTTCAAATTGTCATCTTCAGGGCGTAATAATTCCATTTACAGTAAACACCAAGACTAAATAAATGTAGTGTAGAAGGAAGATATTTTAATTTATCTATTGACAGT